AAACAGCCTATATGACCCTCAGGCCCAAATAGCTGCCCATCCCTGCCTTAAAAGCAGAGCAATGGGAACGTCTTAAAACTCAATAGGGGAGAAGTACCTTGGCCATCTTCATGCCCACTTAGTTCGCATCTGAGACCTTCAGATCCATTTTACTGCCCTTGCTGTTCCTGCACACAACTGACACAAGAGGAACGGATTGCTACAAGAAAAAGCCTGATCTTTGCACAGAACTGAGCAGGTTGGCAGGCCAGCCAGCACAGCCTCAAATGAATATGGGCCAGGGCCACTGCACTGCATCTGTAAATCAACAGCCCAGGCTCTACATTTGCAGAAATGATAGTTGTGACTGAACCTTTCTATCTCACACCAGGCTGAAGTATCTTACAGAGGGATAAGGGGTTGCGCCAAATTATGAAGCTCTAGTCTCCTTTGGGTGCTGAGTTCACATCATGAATGGATTAGATCATGCTCCAAAGTGCATGACCGTTCCCCCTACTGCTTTGATTGTACAGTCGATTTTAAAACACTGCAAACCATTCCAAACCATACAAGTCCTTGAAGAGAGGTTGATAGGGCTCAACTGGCCTGTCCGGTTAAGAAAATCATCTCAAATCAATTTTGAAGCTGTTGGGTTTTTATGAAATCCTGGAGCAGTACAGGATTTGGGGGTCCTACTGTTCACAGACAACAGAGTTCACCAGCAATTCAACTGATGAATTTTTAGACACTGCTTTTTACCGCTGGACAGCTCAATTCCTAAAAGCACATTAGAGCCAGATGGAATTATCCCTGCCCACAAAACATATGGCTGGACACCGCCATACCTCTAGGAAAGGCAGCAAGACTGACATGCCTGGGGAAAGAACTGTCCCCAAAAGGTGGACAGGGCCTCATCCTGACTTGTGAGGAAAATCACAGGGAGTTCATAGTGCTATGGAAGACTTTCCCTCTTCTGCCCCCTTGTTACCTTTTACATGCATCTTGCAAGGGAAAAAAAAAAAAGAAAAGTACAGATCAGGGTCTTTTGCAAGGATAGCCAGCAACCAAACCGTTTAAAAGGCTTCTATGCAAAAATTGATATCGCTGCAAAATGAAGTTCACCAGGTCCCCTCTACAGCCCCAAGCCATATGAGGTCAGACCATCTACTCTTGGAGCAACATATGAATCATGGGTCTGGCTATTACACTGATGTTTTTCTAGTCTTGGTCTCGATTCGTGTCTGGCAGATATGATATTGTGATGAACTTAGACAGCAGTATTCAACGGTGTCAATTTTGTATTAAAATAGGAACACTTCTATATAGTTTCTTAGATAGCATCCCAACACTGTAGCATCAGAATCACTAGTTCCAAGAGTTATAAACATGGCTGATGGCATCTTTTTTTCCAGTATTTGCATCATTTGAGGAAAAGTGAGGCACTATTTGGTGCTAAGATTTCTTCCTTGTACCCACATGAGCCTCTTTTATTTTGGGAAAGCCAAGCAAGATCAAGCCAAAATGCACAGTCCAGGAGTTTGGTAAACCGGTGAGCTCAGCATCTAAGTACTGGAGAGAAACAAATAGAGAGCAACATCCCTGAAAGCCAGAGAAGCATAGATGAATTATTAGTGTATTAACAGGCAGAATAAAATAGTTACCAAGTTTTATCTGATTTGTAACCTTGACAGGCATCCAAAAAATCACTACTAAAGAGGGGGAGGAGGAAGAGAGATAATTAGATACTCTGGCAGATACAGCTGGTGTGCAAAGCGATAGCACCTTTGCATCACTCCAAACGCTCTGAGCTATTCACATGTGGACCTTCAAAGGCAAAGTCACCCGCAAACCTTACTCCAAGGACCCTCTTTCCCAAAACAATCAGTAAATATTTTTAAATCCAGAAGTATTTTCAAACAGCTTACAACAAGAGTCTCCAGTCAGAGAACTCAGTCTAGGCAGTCTGGTTGCTGAAACACAGGACTGGAAAATGACATGGGTTCATTGTCCCTTATGCAGCTGACTGCCACAGTGAACAAGACATATCCCTGATAGGGTTGGTGGATAGTGTTATATGCAGCCCATTATAAGTCGGGTGTTCCTTTGCTAAGTGAGGAGAAGCTAAATTTAAGAGCGAGGGTAAAGATTTGAGCCCAAAGCCTGAAAATGAATATTCTACAGGCAAGGTTCTTTGAGTGGACGTGATATCTTTTATTAGACCAACTGAGTAGCTGGAAAAAGTTCTTAGCAAGCTTTCAGGCGCAGTCACCCTTCTTCAGGCATAGGGAGTCTCTGCTGGTCAGAGACTCCAAGAAATGTTTCTAGAGCAAATGTGTTCCTTCTCAGCACTGAAAAAACAATTCTGCATTTGCATTTTTGGCTGTGTGAAAGGAATGGAGATAATGGACCAGGAAACAAGTCACAAGGGGGAATTCTTTGATCCGTGGGGAGACTCCAACTTTCGCAGTAGAACCAGCTGGGCTGCTATAGCTGGCTTGGAGTCTAAGCGCTCATGTTCTTCATCATAATCTTATTTAAGAGATCGATTTTCTTCCATTTAGAAGGGAGCACGCTCTATGCTACATGAAGGAAGTCTGGCAAAGAAACAGCAGAGGGGCTGGGAGCACTTGCAGGAAAACACCTACCAGTCACAGCAGACTTCTCTCTAAGGTACCACATCAATAAAAGACTGGAATAGAACAGTTTGGTGAAGTTTATACCATCATTGCCACACACAGGACCACGGACAGTAGGGTGCCCATGGGGAGGAGCGTCTTTGCCAGCACAACTATTAATGGGAAATGAAATAGTTTTGCCAGTGCTTAGGGGGCAGTTGCAGCCAACTGAATGGGAAGTGAACAGCTCAAAAGTGCACGTCAACCTGCTCAACACTTGAGCAATATGGAATGGAGGAGAGAAAACTGCAACAAAAGCTGTTTGAAAGGTCAGAAGCTGATCAACTTTCTTCCCTACTTCTGATCGGGGGGAAAAACTTGCTGCTGACACTTCACTGAAACAATGAGAAAAGGAAAGCCATCCCCTGCCTACTGGGTGGACAGGGACTGAAGCCCAAGCCAACATCAGAAACTTCTGGCTCTCTCCCAAATGTGGAAAAGGACATTGTGGTTGCATGTGCAAGAAGTTCTCACTACAGCCAGCATTTACAGACAGACTCTTTGGTGAGAGACTTCCCACCCTTCCTCTCCAAGCCTTGAAGGGAGCTTTGATAACAGAAAACCAGGGAATGATGGACTAACAGGTACAGACCCACTGGGAGTGCTCAATTCTTCTCCAAGGACCAAAGATTCCCACACTTTGGTATTAAGGGTAAACTGGGTTCTAAAACTTCTCTCCCTATATATTTAATGCAAAGGACCATGCTAACAAGACTGTGGTAGAGGCTTGTGAGACTTGCAAGAGGACATACGCACAGCTGCTCCAGCTCAAACTAACTACTAGGAAAAAAGATTCAGCATTACCCAGAGGAATACTGAAATGGGAGCCAAGCATGTTTTGAAAGGCAGGAGAGAACAGCAAAAGTAACTGGTCTGACTTCCTCTCAGGATAAAATAAAATGAATAGCTGGAAGAGCTGGAAAGCAGAAGAGCTTTTTGTTTCTGGGATTCTGGTCAAAATGTTTTCATCTGAGCTAGAGTTTTTCTTGAGTCGATTTGAGAAAGGTTGATCTTCTTCTGCCCCTTGACTCTGCCTGTAAGGGTGTCAGGATGCAGCTCGGGAAAGGCAACAGAGAGAAACCTTGGCAAGAGTCATACAATAGCTGGGTAGTTTTGACCAGATCCTGCTGCATCTTTGTCCGATACAGAAGCCTAAGTTAAGGTCAAGTGTTCTTTGTGCTCCCCTAAATTTCATTCATTTCCATTATTGCAGTCTAACAAAACAGTCACTGGACTGTACCAGTCTATCTGCCTGTTCTTCTAATGGTAATTAAAATAACATACCTGTTTATGTGGCAGAATTTGGCAATCTGTGCTCCCTAGTTCAGCCTTTTTAGTTAGTTACTTTAAAGAAGGCAGCCCCAAATGTATTAATCTTCTCCTGAGTTTTGAACCTTCAGATATGTCACATTATCAAAACATTCGCCTAAAATCATCAAGGTGACACTTTTTTTTCCCCCTCACGTTTTTTTTTTTTTTGCTTCTTAAAAGGGAAGTCCAGATTTTAATGCAACTACGTGACTCTGGTGATGGGGCTTGAAAAAGGACACTGAATATTACAAGATTTAGAATTGCAAGGGTAGAGAGGATTGTCTAGGCCAGAGGTGGCCAACCTGTGGCACGAGTGCTATGAGTGGCATGCAGCATGCACCTGTGGCACGAGTGCCCCTGTGCCATGCAGCAGATGGAAAAGGGGACAGGCAGCATGACCACTGATAGACCAGAGAGCAGAAAACAAAGCAGCAAAGCCAGCAGGGAGCACGGCAAGGAAGCAGAAGGCAGAGCGGCAGATCAGGCATGGAGTGCAGGGTTTGGAGCAGAAAGCAGAGCAGCAACTTGAACTGGGAAAAGGGATCGGGGTGGCACGCCTACCACCAAGGTCACCCTCCACTGGCCTAGGCAACATTCCAGAGAGTCATATGAATAACTCTACTTAACTGCCAGTCAATACATCCAGAAACGTTCAGGTTGCACACCTGGGACCAGCCCAGCTTCTGGAGTCTCATCTCTGGTCTTCAAGTTAACAGGAAGGGTCACTAATGAGTAAGGAAGGATCAATCTTCCCAAGGTTACTACCTCTGCAATACCTCCCCAGTGCCTATCAGACAGGAGATCATTATATGATCTAGCTGGGGTCTTACATGAAAGACAGAACCACCATATTCAGAACGAACGGCAGCAGTAGCACTACACTAAGAGCTCTATTACGTGACCTCTGTTTCTGTGCCTTGCTCGTTTTCCCTTCAAACAGCAAAGGCAGGTTGAGAAAGCTGCACGCAAGAGATTCACCATCATGCCAGGCTTTTAAAAGCGCGCACACACGCACAAAAAGGCTGAGAACAGTACCTGAGATCTTCTGTTGTTCCTGAGAAAAGTCAATGCCTTCGCCAATGGAGCTCATTATTTTCTCAATCTGAAAATAAAAAAAGACGACACTATTTTTAGTCATGGGAAAAAAA